AATACCTTTTACTTAAGTAGAATTGTTGTAAATATAATTCTTTAGTGTTAACTTGTTAATAATAAATACTCATAACTTTTTTCAATTCAGTCTCTTTTTGTCTGCATAAACCTTCTCTCAACTGATAGTAATTGTATGTGGGGGTAAAAAAGTAAATTGAGCCAGGGCAAAACCACGACACAGAGGTCATTGTGTGAACCTCTCTTTGTTCTTCCTTTCGAGGTGGGATGCAAGCGTTGGTTTGGGCTATCGGCACCGGAGGGCAGACGAGCAAGGTCAGCATTTTCCTGCCACCCAGAATCCAAGTTTATCTCCAACCCTTCTTGTCAGTGTTCATTCTGTGAGCATCTTTTTGTTCTTTCTTTCAGGATGGGATGCAGGTGGTTGTTGGGGCTAACAGCACTGGAGTACAGACAAATAAGGTCATCATTTTCCTGCCAGTAAGAATCAGAAGGTACTTCTAGCGTGTTGAAATTTTGGTGAATCTAAGCACATCCTTTGCCATTTGCTTTTTTTCTGATGGTGCACAACCTGGCAAGCATGAGCAGAATGGGAAGGAGGTCCTTGCAGTAAGAGGTGAGCGTAAAGGAAGCGGAGAGGGGAACTTTGGTCAGAATGTCGCACTCGGAGGGGATCCGTCTGGATTTGCTTTTGCCTCTGTGATTTCTTTGCAGTGCCCATCCGTATTGCCAGAGGAGCAGAGCCACGGGTCGAGGAGCCGAGCGACAAGCTCAGGTGCTCTTCTGCTGGCCTTGTGGGCAATGGCAGGCACTTCAGGTCTGGGCATTTAAGCATTGCCCTCTTCTCTTTTGAGGGGCCAGCCCGGTAACCTTTGGCAAGAAATGAGCGTCCCAGGTGAGTCGGGGAGGTATCGAGGAGGAGCAGGGGTCCAGGGAAGGGTCAGAAATACCACTGAAAGCTTTTGTTCCCTGTTCCAGGTGTGCCATGCAGTGGGAGCTGCAAGCTGCACCTCTTGCTGAAGACAGTGACACAAGGAGGTGGGTGCACTTAGGAGACGGTGAGTGTGGGAACGGTTGGCGTTTGGCCGATGTGCTGCTAAAGTCATGCATTGATTTTGGTTTCCTTTCTTGGAGCTGGCGAAGATAAGAACCCAGGGACTGCAGGAACCCTTAAGCCAGCTGAAGGGGCATGTCTTGGAAGGTGTACCACACAGATAATAAAGAAATACCAAAAAATTTGTTTTGTCATTGTTTCTGCATATCATAAATTTCCTACCAAACATTCTCTATCAACTTTCTGCTAGAATGTGTCACCAGGACTTCTCACATCACTTTTCCTGTCAATAGATCCTTCCATTGTTTAAGGAAGATCTCTTATCTCCTTGAACATCTGAGCTGGCTATGTGCCAAGAAACCACGTATAACCTCCTTTGAACACTATAAAAACTGAGGAAAAATTTTGGAAAATCAGGGGACAGAAAAGGGAGGAAGAGCTGGTGACTGTAGCTGAGAGTCTCTGCCCTCCTCCCCTCCCCTTTTCTCCACCACAGCATGCTGCCTGCCGGCCACCGGAGACTGGAACTGTGCCGGCCTGGAGAGAGCTGAGACCACCGTGCCACATGTTCTACCTTTTCCTTCTAGCCTTGTAATTTTTCTGAAGGGCTAAAAGTGCAGCTTAACGGGACCCTGCACAGCCTGGGACATGGCTGGGTGTGAGTTCCAGAGGACTAAAGCTGTCAGACCCCCTGAAGCTAAAAAGAGAACATCAAAAATGCAGCAGATACAGAGGGAAAAAAAAAGGCAGAAAACTACTTCCCCCCTTTCACACACACACACCAGCTTGGCAGGAAAGGTGGTATGGTGGTATCTTTTCTCTGCTTCTAAAATATAATCTAAAGCATTTTCCAACCTTTTGTTTTTTCCTCTTTCTCTTTGCATCTCTTAGCAATTAATAAAATCAGATTTTGGTATCAACAGATAACTTATGTGAGTTTTAATTTTGCTCAGGGGAATATCCAAATCTGAAGTTCTTTCTGCAGTATTTAAGCAGATTATAAGAGTGGTACATTGTAACGTCTCTGCCCCGAGAAAGCTGGTGCAGAACCTCTGGGCCTTCACTTTGTTTTGTCATTGGGACAAACGGGGACAAGATGTGTTTTAAAGTTTCTCCCTGCCCTGCTGTGTGCTGCCGCTTGGCTGGTGGAGCAGCAGAGCAGAAATTCCCTGTTGGCATCTGGCAAAGCAGCAGGTGCCAGCAGTGACGATGGGGTGGGGGGTGAGGTGTCTGCTCTTCAAGAGGGCCAAGACAAAGGCATTGGGGAATTGTCCCGGAACTCTGGCATGGCAGGCTTGGAGCGCTCAGTGGGCATTTCTTGAGAGCTCGGGTGCCCTTAACATCTTGTAATGCCTTAACATCTTGTAGGTGGGGTTAGTGCTGTGTTGTGGTTTTGTTCTGGTTCAATTTATTTTTATATTTCCCACACAATTACTATCAGTTGAGAGAAGGTTTATGCAGACAAAAAGAGACTGAATTGGAAAAAAGGTATGAGTATTTATTATTAACAAACTAAAACTAAAGAATTATATTTATAATAATTTTACTTAAGTAAAAGGTATTATGTATTTACAAAAGATACTTTTCCCCCCCACTTCCCTTTATATCAGTCCAAGGAGGAGAAGCAGTCCTTTTCTGTTCTTGGAATTCCAGCTCTCTCTCTCTTCAGTAACTCTGCAGCACTTTCGTCGCAGTTGGAACTTCTTTATCTCTCTCTTATTCTGTGTTGACCTCCAGGGCTAGGCTTACCCCCCTCCTGGGCTAAAACCGAAGATTGAGGGTTACCCAGGTCCTGAAGGGTCTCCTTCCATAGGCTTGCAAGGGGACACTTGCTTACTATGGATCTTCTTCCACAGGGTTACAGGGGATAATGGTTTAAGAGTTCACCCCTGTTTCCCTATGGAGGTCCCTCCCCATGGGAGAACAGTCCTTGATTGACTTCTCGGCATGGGTCTAGTCTGGATCCCTTACTCGGATCCCAATATCCCACCTGAGCCATTTTCTGCTCCAGCGTAGGTTTTTTTCATTCCCCTCAGGGTCATAAATCTTCAACATTCCTACCTGAGCCGTTTTTCTGTTCCAGCGTAGGTTCTCTCAGGATCACAAATCTCCAGCACCAGCAGCATCATGGATCTCTCACTGAGATCCCAAGCTTATCTGAGCCATCTCGCTCCAGCATAAGCATCGTCCCCTTCGAGGGTCACAAAGTCTTTAACAGGACTCTGCCTTATCTGAGCCGCTTTTACTCCAGCATAAGGCTTTTTCTCTGTTAAAGTCACAAATCTCTGGTGCATCCACAAGCTCCTCTGTGAGCCGCATGGGGGTCTCTTCACCCCAACAAACTTCTACAGGTGGCAGGGATTTTATTTTACAGTCTTTACCCTGCTGAAGGGAAGGAGAGTGAAAGGGAGAAAAAGCAGCTCTCCCCCCTTCGAACTTTTCTTCTCTCTCCTGCGACTGCAGCTTTGACCTTGGAAATTCTGTTATCTCATGGCTGGAATTCTTCTGCAGCGACTTCTCGTCTAAGCAGTTCATCTTTTAAACTTTTTTTCTTCACTTTCTCACAAGACAGAAGGGAGGCTTCAGTACTACACCTGCCCCCCCCCGGCCCAAGCCGGGGGAGGAGGGGGCCTTGGCCCTCCTCGGGCCCGCTACCCTTCTACATGGCTGCTGCTCCTAATTTCAACTACGCAACCACCTTCTCTTCCGTTTTCTTAAAGATGTAATTAACAAAGGCGTCACTGAACTTTTTGATTGGTTTTTTGTCCGGAAATCACCTGGACAAAACCATCCTCAGCCCCAGGGATGGGCTGATGGGCAAAACCACGACATGCTGCTGTGTTAAAGAGGAGATGTCTGGCAGGATTCCTTGCCCCTCAGGCCCATAGAAACATGCAAGTTGCATTCAGCATGGCTCAAGCATCTGTTAGCTAATCTTTGAAGATGCTCTTCTCTCCCAGCATTCAGTAGTTGAGGGAGTTGTTACAGAGGGGGATGTAAAAGTTGCAAGTCTTTCCCTTTCTGTGTGTTGTTCCCAGGCAGTACAGCAGAAGCAGGAAGAATGTGTTGCTGTTCTGCTGGAACACGGTGCCGACCCGAATCTGGCAGATGCTGACGGTAACACTGCCCTTCACCTGGCTGTGCTGTCCAAAAATACAGCTGTGGCAGGGCTGTTACTCCAGCATAATGCCAAGAGTGATGCTCAGAACCAGGTAACCTTGGCATGTGGGTAAAGTTGCTCTTTCAAACAGGTGCAGAGCTTGTCTGCACAGAGGGGTCTGTAGCTTTGGGGGACTAGGTAGAAACAACAGGAGAGTCAGTCTGATTTTGAAAGACACTTCTGCTTTGGATTCTGTTACTTAACACAGTTTGTCTTGCATTGGATTTTCTGGTAATAAGACCTGTATTTCTTCTGAAGCTCTCAAAGTGAAAACACCAGACTGGAAACCACTGTCCAACAGCTGAGTGAGAGCGTTGAAGCCCCTCAGAGAGACCTGCAAACCTCTGCCTCAGTAAGCTGCTCATAAATTTCCCTGTTTGTGACTCTTGAGCAGAGCTGCCCATTTCTGTGGAGAAACTGCAAGATGAAGTTTTCCTGGAGAGCCAAGGGGAGCTCAGTTTCTGCATTCTCCTCAGTAGAGGCTGCTCAGAAAGCAGCCTGGTCCTTTCTCCAGCTGCTACAAAAGCCCTGAGGGTATTTTCTGTGGTGGACACTAGAGGAATAGAGATTATAAATTATGAGTGTCATTATGAGCTCCAAGGGACCCAGAAGTATTGCTCCCAGAAGTATCTCACAAATTCTTAAGTAGGTCTAAAGTGTCTACTTTCTGTCGGGGAATCTTTCCAGTGTTTTCCATGCTCATTTCCAAGAGATGATAAATACAGTTTCACTGGCCACCCCTTTAGATATTTTTCCAGATCTCACTGCCTTTAGATCATGCTGAGTTTCCTTTTCTTTTTTTTTTTTTTTCTGTGTACAGGTTGGTGAACTTTCCCAGCAGCTGGACATGGAGCCTAAAACAGGCATGCAGCTGGAAGCCCAAAATCAGGATTTGCAAGAAGAGCTGTCCACTCTGCATGGGATGTGTGAACAACTGGAGGTGGACAAATGCCAGCTGCATGAAGAGGTGAAAAAACTCCACCATCATTTGAAGAATTTCACGCTGGATGGCAGCCAAACAAAACAATGTGAAAGAGACGTGGAAGAACAAGCAGACAAGGAAATAACACAAAAGCTACAAGAAGTCAATCAGTTTTTGCAAGTAAGTGAATTTCTCACCAGTGTCCACGTAAACTTCTGTTATGGCCACAATTTCTGGTATTTTCCTTTCCCTCCTGCATTCTCTTAGTGCTGTACTTCTGTCTGTGATGGAGGCAGTGGGAGAAGGGCAGATGGTTGGGCAGCAGTGCTGGGTGTGTGATGTGCCGGCAGGTCCCTGAATCCAAAGCCTGCCCAAGGCACATTCCCAGTTGGCAGTGCCTGGGGAAATCTCTGTCCCCTGCTCTGGTTCTCTCTGCTCATCTTCAAATGGGTTTGGCAACTTGCAGCTGTCATGGCCAGACATTGGGGTGCTGCTTTGTCCTTGTAGGGGGGAAAGTGCTCAGAAAAAAAGTCCCTGAAATGACAGGGGTGGGGTGAGGGGGGTGCAGGTGGGGATGCTCTGATTGTCTTTGAAGCATCCTTTTCAATATGCCCTGTCCTGCAGATACAGTGTCTTTTCATTGGTAGCTTTGACTAAGAGTGCTGATTTGGCCTCTTTTTGAATGAGAAGAATTATTTACCCTGGTAGCTCCTGGGTTCTGCCTTGATTGCTGCTGCTTGTGAGGAGGCACAGCCACCTCTCTGAGCTAAGCTGGGCCCTTGAAACTCGGTATGTGCAATTTTCTGCTGGGGAGAGTACTGTTTTTCTTGTGGTGGTTGAAGGTGCACTGTCTCATTCAGGCACAGGCAGCCTACCAGGACACATTAGAAAAAATCAGAAGCAGTCATTTTGACTCACTGAAAAACCAGTTAGAAGACAGAACTAGAGATCTTGAACGTGCACTGGGAAGGACAAAAAGCAACCAACAAGAAAGACCTTTTCAACAAGAATCCAGGCAGCCAGCAGTGGACAAGTACATAGAGCTGTACCTGCAGGAAGTGAAAACCAGCAAAAGCCTCGCAAAGAAACTGGAAAGGTAAGTTCATGGTTTTTTTGGAGTGGTAATCACAGACTCCTTTTTCCTTGTGCATTTGCCTTCTAAAATCCCTTTTCTACATCTGGCCAGCACAATGTGTGAAAGCATAACATGGCATATTTGTGGGGAAAGCACCTCAAGACCCTTCCCTTCACCAGACCTGTCTTCCTTTCTCCATAGAGTTCCAGCAGTAACACCACAGTAGCACCATTACAGCATGAGTGGTGTCTTTTTCCAGCTGATGTTGATTTAACAGGCAGTCTTTTTGCCAATCTCTAATCTCCTCCTCCTCCTGTGTGTAACAGAAAAGATCAATCTTGTGGCCTTTCCTGTTTGAATAAGGAGAGGCCTCTCAGAGAGCAGAGTTGGATTCTGTGAATCAAAAATAAGAATGATCTTTCTGTTTTAGCAGTGGCTCTGAGGTTTGAGCTTTCCCTTGAAGGCCAGCAGGGTAGCCCAGAGTTCTTATGGAGGTGACACTTGCTGCTCCTTGCACTTGGTGTGATTTTTTGGAAACAGGCCCTCTGCACAAGCTCAGATCAAAGGATGTGCTTGTTTTGGACTCTCTTCTTCCCTTGGCATTTAGAAGTCAAGGAATAGTCAAGGACATAGAGGGGAACTTTGCCAAAGCGTTGCTGCCCAAGGTGACTCTTTGTGTGCCTCTGAATGTTTCAGAGCCAAGGAGAGACTTGAAGAGGCCAACCCGAAGCTCCTTTGGGAGCGCCAGAGAAGCAAATCTGCAGCCACAATCAGTGATGTCAGCAGACGTCTGGCTGCAGTTCCACCTCTGGATTCAGCTGGCCTGGGACACCTTGGGAACCATCTGGGACTGGGCAGAACTCCCGGCCTCAGAACACACCCCAGCCACGTCTGGTAAAGCCAACGACTTTTGGTCAGCAGGTTGGTACAAATTTTCCAGTGTGGGAGAGGACAGAAAATGTTGAAATGGAAGCACTGAGCTGTGTAACTCCATTCTTTTACAGAGCAACTGTGGCAAAGAGCACTGTGAGGCAGGAACTTCCCACCTAAGTTCAACACTAAATTTACATGTCCGGTCTGTGTGACCTGTTTCAAATGGCTGATGTCACCATGAGTGCCAAATGCCATCAGACATCTGTGAGACACCGAGGAGGAGCCAGCCACGTCCCAAAGTCCAGCGCTGCCCCAGTGGTGGCAGGCCTGGCCCAGCCGTCCCAGGGAGCAGCACCCAGGCCAGGCCGGCACCGCCACAACCACAACCACTGCCTGTGCACTGCCTGCTCTTCCCTGGCACGAGCCCTTGGTGCCAGTGGGGCAGGCAGGAGCTTTCCTGCTGCCCGCTCAGCCCCTTGGCCACGGATCTCCTTCTGCCACGCCAGTTGCGGCCTGGAGCGACGGCAACGACACTCCCTGTTCGGGAGGGTGCTCAGGGCTGTGCCAGGCTGTTCCTTGGCACCTGTGTCCCACGAGGGCAGGAGCAGCAGTGCCAGGCTGCCAGCACCAGGCAGCTGCCTGCAGGTGACCGTGTGAGCCTCGGCAGCGTCCGGCTGAGAGCGCGGCACAGGGAGGCACCGCAGCCACGGCTGCAGGGACAGCACCTCGGGCATTTGGCTGCCCCAAGCACACACTGCCAGCCTGGGCTCACCCAGTGATTCCTGTCACCAGCCTGGGATTGCCCTAAACACACCGTAGGGCTTGAGCTGGGTCACAGTTTCATCACAGTGTGCCAATAGATAGTAGGGCACAGATAGATTAGACAGATTATAAGATAGGTAGATAGACAGATAGATAGACAGATAGATAGTTAGATAGTTAGATAGACAGACAGATAGATAGATAGATAGGTAGATAGATAGATAGATAGATAGATAGATAGATAGATAGATAGATATTAATAGATTATATTTTTTCTGCGGTGTTCATCACACCTGCGTGATGCCTAGTGCAGAATGTCAAACGGATCATCGCCTCGTGCGCTGTAAACTTAACCTCCACCTTAAGTTCAAACCTAAAAACGGTGGCATTCCTAGAAGGAGACTTCAAGTTAACAGTCTTCAATCAGCTACAGTGAGGAACAGCTTCCAGGCAAATCTTCAATCCAGGCTCAAAGTTCATTCCACAGACTCCTCTCCCGAAGCGCTTTGGCAACTTATTAAAAGTAGCATTCTGCAGTCCTCTGAAGAATCCATAGGGTTCTCCTTCAAGAAAAACAAGGACTGGTTTCATGAAAACAATCATGAGATCCAGGAATTGTTGAGTAAGAAGAGAACTGCTCCCCAAGCCCACCTTGCTCAGCCATCTTGTCATATAAGAAAAGCGGCCTTTCGACTCGCATGCAGCAAGCTGCAACAGAAACTTCGTGACATCCAGAACAAGTGGTGGACCAATCTAGCAGAAAAAATCCAATTATGCGCAGATACAGGTGACTACAGGGGATTCTATGAGGCTCTGAAAACAGCCTATGGTCCTACACACCAGGTTCAAAGCCCATTACTCAGCGCAGATGGCCAAATGCTTCTCACAGATAAAGTTTCCATCTTGAATCGAAGGTCT